ATCATGCATAAACCGCATACGAATAGTCTAATATCGACTGAAACTTCCTCTAATATTTCGTGTAAACGCGTGCTCAAAAAAATCAACGTACTTTGTGCCTGTTGGTTTCCCATCAAGAGAAAAAGGTTCAATTAAAAATTTATCAATTATTCCTGCCCATACGTTTAAACTAAACTGGTGTTGATGTCTTGAATGCACAATAACATGTGGGTTTTCTTCATCCCAATTACGATTATTATGAAAATTGAATATACCATTACTGGTAGGACTAGCTTACTAGAGTTTGCTCTGTTTATAAAATTCATTATATCACACAAACGAAGACAGATAGGACATATATTTATACGACATTTTTTCATTATTTTTAGGCGTACAATCATCGCGAAGTGGGTCCCAAGTTACGAAACACCCTGTATATATATTATATGTTCAATTTTACTCATCACTGTACCACGTGATAAACTTACGAAACAATAAACTTGCGCAACTCTGACGATGCATTGGATTGATCGTTGAATTTTTAAATCGCGTGATCCCGCGATTGCCAATATTATCGTTGAGCTGTCGAAACCTTCGTTAACATGCAAAGATAATGGCTTCGAGTTTCTACATTTCTGAACTAGGAGGATTAATGGCCGCCACGGTCCCTAGAATTTTAATTACTTGATGACCCCTGGACAACGGCGAGAACTTTGGCATGTTAATGTGCGTCATTCCAGAGCGCACGCCGTATCTGACACAGGTTGGAAGCTCCGGTCTGATCGCGGTGAGGGAGTACGTGTCGTTCGGCAAGTCGAGATACAAATTTAGGTCTTTGTACTGCTCCTCGAGGTCCTCGTCGAGCTCGTCGCTGCTCGGCGCGTTGTCGTCCGCCGCCCGGACCACGTCTGTCACACGGCCGATTGCGTTCACAGTTTCCGAGGAGACTATCTCGTCGCATTCTGCCAGCTGTTTCAGCCTCTGTCTTTGCAGTTGCCTCATTCGCTCTATCTCGAGCACCGATTTCGGACCAATTACGGCCATCGCCTGAGCTCAGCACCGAGCTACCGAGGATTTACAATTCGCCAAGACCGAGAGGGAGCGACGGAAGGCAGGTGACTTTGATCTAATCTCCGCGGTTTCTTCAGAGAATTACGCGCGCCGCATAATTTGTTTCATCGTCGAACAACTATTTTTACTCTTATTGCCAAATTGAACGACCATTTCGAACTTGAAATTTTGCCGTTCTTGGTGAGATCGTCTGTCAGCAATGCGGAAACAAAGCGCGAAGTTAACCGTTAACAAAGATACGTAGCGACATCTACGTGTCTCGAGCGAGAAGGTTCAGCATGAAGGTTTCTCCGTGAAATTCACAGACCCGACAGAATGCGTCCGAAATAAATAAAATGAATAAAATCCGCGCCGTGGTAACCTTTCGAAAATTCAGCATGCACTTGCACCCAGCCAATCAATCATGAATATTCTTCTCGTGGAAAGATGTAAAACGATTGTTACGATCAGTTTCCCAACTGCAGCGCGCTGAACCGAACCGTTGATCTCTCGCGTTGAAGTCTTGTAATCCTTCGTTGTCAAATATGGATCGTCGTCGTCGGAAAGATTGCCGAAAGTACGAAAAGTGGAAGGAGGAACGAGCGTCGAAACAGACGGAGAAAGGGACGGAGAGACGAAAACGCAGGGAACCGGTGATCGATGGTCTGGCTGAAGATGACGAATTGGAGGAAGTTACCCCACCGAAGACAGTGTCGAAAGCGAGGTATCGAAAATGCAGGACGAAAGGGATGAAAGGGACAAAGGAAACGCCGAGGAAGTGTATCAGAAAACTCGTCAGACGTATTTCGTACGCGGAGCTAGTTCTCGGATGCATAAAACCGTCGTTGGAAGAGAGAAAGTACCTTCTTAATCCGCGTCATATTGATTGCGTGGGTCTCAGCGTGGATGTCGCGCCGGAAACGCCAAGTAACACAAAGATGATTTCCCTTTTCCTGAATGACTCTCATTCCCTAACTCTCCTCGATCTCCTTTCATTGTTCAACCTTTTAAATCTATTCATTTTTTATTCGCCCGATCTCATGCATCATTCATTTACATCATGGTGCCTCTTATCGCGCCTCATTTTATGCGATTTCTTACATTTTACATGAGACATTAAATTCAATCATCGTCGCAATTACGTCAATAATAATGAGCAAAGAGAGAGGAATATTGTAATTAATAGTTTCCTTTATATCGCGCGTGTCTGAGGTAGCAACAAGTCAGATTTACGTGAGCGATCGACGGAAAAGAAGAAAAATCTGCGAGGGAGGCTGTCAGAGAAGAGCGGAATCGGAAGACAGTGAGTGCGACAGCGATTGCTCTTTCGACAATGACGTATGCCTTGCGGGTAACGTTGAAACACAATCCTTTGACAAACGTGACATTAGAACTACAAGTTGGAAAATTGGACAATTTATTGCGTTAGGTGTAAAGTTAACAACGAAGGATAAAGAGGAAATAAAGAAGTATCAACGCGAAGCTCCGAAAGCCATCTAAAGCAGAAAATTGTCTTTCTTCTCTCTACGATTGCCAGTCATCAGTTGCATAACGAATCAATCAAATAAAAATAAAATACTCGACAAAGATGGTAAAAGCTGGAAAGAAAATATTAACAAATCGCAGGGGAAAAATTAACTGGTGAGCAGGTTTAAAATGCTATTCCAAATAATTTGTGTTGAAGTTTGAGATTAACGTAACGTCTGAAAATGAAATTCGACGTTTACGAATGCAACGCAGGTTACGACGTCGACTTAATAGAACAAACTGGAACTATTTCGTGAAATTATTTCGGATGATCTGGAATTATTTCACACGGGCATTCACAGAGAAGGAAAGAAATTTCCACTAGCTTCTGTCAATCGAAAGATCCTTCCACGAGCTGTTTATTATTGTATCATGTACCAACTTTAATTGTAAGTATAAAATACGAACGATCGACTCAGGTGATTTGCACGATTTATGCGTAGCAAGAAAATATTAATTATGGTCTATTAATAAAACTATCGATTATTAATAAGTTTTTTACGACGACCAACACTTCGATCAAGATTAATAGATACCAAGATTAAACCATCAACTTCTCACTCAACACCTCACTAACAAATCAAACTTTGACGCATCTAACAAAAAAGTGATACTAAAATTATCGCAACTCGATCTTATAAACTTGATCGCGCAATTTCAAGGACAACAAATAATTTTGTAAAATAAAATGAAATAAATTGTAAAATAATTTAATATTAATAGGAAATTATTTTCAGTGCCAATATAATTATATATGTATATATATCTAAATACATGTAATTAAAGATTATTCAAAGAATAAATATTGTAAATGATTAATGTATGAACATAATGCAAACATGTAAAACAATGTAAACGTAAAGTAATGTAAATATGAATTGTAAATCATTGAGGTACGAGTGTAATGTAAGCATGTAAATAATGTAATCTTGGTACTGTGTACCAATCTATCAATGAAACACATAAAAGAATCATGATTACTCGCAAGATTTAGTTGCTCGAGGAAAAATTATCGATACTTTGATTGAACTTTGTAAGAAAAGAAATTGTACAACAAATTTTTGTTAAATCATTTGCTTTAAATCGTGACTGTCCATAAAGAGGTTTGAATTTGCAAAATTTTCGGTGCTTTCGAATAAGCAAAGATGGATTGTCCTGTAATTTTTCTTCTATAAAGTTATAGTACCACTGACAGTACAGTTTTGGCACAATATTCCCAGAGTCGACGAGAAATTTTGAGCCAACATTGAGACAGTATAGCATTAAAAAAACCGGTGCAAAATTATTGTTTTATAAGCAATATCCATATCAACATATCATTATAATTTTCAGTTTACTTTCGTGTGCAATCTGGCTATCAGTTTAAGTTTCGTTGGGCGATTAGTAATATTTTATAAACTTCGAGGTAGCAAAGAAAAAGATGAATATTTCAAAGTGATTCATTCACCCTCTGTTCCAACAAACTCGTACTCGTATATTATACCAATACTCGTTTAACCATATGAATACATGCATAAATTTGAGGTATGAAAGTGCATTAGTTCATTTGGTGTAAATACAACCATTATAGCTCTTGCTTGAAGCTTTAATTTTTCGTACATACATCGCTGAGCGCTTAAATTGAAGAGTTGCTGTCAATGCAGATTAAATCCATCCTTGATCTCAACGAGATATCTATTTGGATATTTTAATTCGCTGATGATAAAAATTATTAGAATACCGAAATCAACTTGTAAGCAAAAGAATCATATCCTTTTACAAGATTGAGTTTTTACATAAATGAAATAATTAATTACTGAAGTGTAACGTTGTTTATGCATTATCCTTATAATATCAAAGTATAGTATTAAATATTCCTTGTAATACTAAAGTATATAGTATTAAATGTTCGCATTAAATATTCTTTTTAAGTGCGAAGCATTAGCAATTTATACAGTATTTCTGCGCGATAATACGCGTTCTCTGAAAGGTACTTATTTACATACAGATTTATGATAATTTCCAGTACAATTAAAACGAAGATACTAATTATGTCAATCAACGCTGAACGCTCCGTTCGAACAAGCACAAAGTCCAACAAAGTCGGATATTCTAATGAAAGAATGTCTGTTATTTTTATAAGAAAAAAAAATATATAGAACAAATTCTTCAAGCCAAATTGAAGACCTATTTTCGCGGAATGTTCATAAATAGAGACGCTTTCTTTTCTTAAATGATTAAACGTTTATTTCTTGTCGCGTTGAGACAAATACCAGACGAAACGCGACGTAATTGGATCCGCAGGCCTCCTTTCGAATTCTGTAACGAGAAAAGAATTTCTTTTTCTCTATGCTTTCTCAATCCCTTTCACAATTGTCGCGAAATCCTAATTTTTAAATAATACATTTTTTTTTATTATTATTATTTGAGAAACAGTTTTTTTTCAAAATTCAATATGTCGTCGATCATCTACCTCATGTTGGCAAAATCCTCGTTTATTAAAATGTTCATGTCACATTCTTTGATTTATAATGTCCCTTAATAACGTCACTTTTTCAGCTTATCCGCAGAAAATTTCTATCGATGCATTTCTGTTCGTGCTTCGTCGAAAGAATAAGCAAAAATCCCTAGCGCAACAAATTTTTGCGCAAACGAAAAGATATAATATTGAAGCGCGATTATGCTCGATGCAACACTAACGTCACATAGATGATTGATAAGCAGATAAAATTATTACATACATGACGTAACGGAAAGAGGGAAAAAATTAGTTCCAATCAGAATCGATCTTTAAAAACGGAGTGGAAAAGTTTTGCGAATTTTGCACTTGGTGAAACCAGAAAAAGGATATCAATTTTCAAATTGTACCGCTTTCTCAATATTTCTTGGGATGACTGGAAACGAATTAAAATTTTTGCATTTTCCTGATTGAGAATAAGATAAAACACAAAGTGCCATTAAGCACATCATGAAAGAGACTTTTTTTTCTTTCGACTCCCATGTAGTTTGGTAGATCTCACGTCAGATAAAATCGAATATTTTCTTACATTCTCCAGTCTGTTTTCACCTACGTGAAACAATTTGCTTCTAATTTAAACTTTCTTTCTTATAAGTCAATAATAAAAACACATGTCGGCTCACTGCCAATAAAATTTCGATGTGCAATAGCGGATTGTTTCTCTCCGTAACAATTTTGTCTCGACCATATTATAATCATCCGATAGAAAAATCTTGTATCGCCATTCACCCGTTAAAACATTCGAGATTTCTTCTGGTGTTAACCGAACGCTATGAGAACAGTGATTAGGCAAAACGTCTAAGACTTACGCTTCCCTGACGGATTTGCAGGTAACAATTTGTTCCAAATCACATTGTTGCCACACAGGTGTGCAACTTCCGTGTACACATAACAAGTCTGCGAGATAAACGCTGCGCATTACGCCCGAAAGCAATCGCCTTTCTTTCCCAACCTTATACTTCCATCTAAACTAAGTATACACCGTGTTCTTGCCCTGAAAGAATACAACACCATGTAACGAACGCACGTGCAAATGTGTCTTTGCAGTTTTTCCTCGTGTGTGTGTGTGTGTGTGTGTGTGTGTCGCGGCTCGGCATACTTTCGTTCTTGCGCCTTCGATTCCACGATCTGTATCCCTGCTCGAGTCTCAGAGTCCAACTCGGTGCTCGTTAACGATTTATGGAGATCCAAAAAAGAAAAAAAATACATCGTCTTTCGCGTTAATGTCGAAAGAAGGAAGAAAAAAAGAAAGGTAATAACTAGGAAATACAAATGACGCAATTAGAGCAAATAATTGACAGATTTATTAACGTCGTTAACAGGTGTGTCAAGAAACATTTATATGAAAATTCAACACGCCATGTTTATAACACGCGTGTGTTTATTAGCGTATGCGATTACGTTGACATTGCGTTTCTTTACACTTTCAATTATACAAAATAAACATTGCCAGCGTTTATAACGAGTTTAACCTCTTGCTTCGCGATGTTGCTTTCAATCTTCTTCGCGTCAGTCATCATCACGATTTGTTACGTGTCGTTTGTACTTATTAATCTTCAATTTGAAGGATTGAAATTTAAATTTCGAATTCAAATTCGAATTGGAACTTTCTTTCTTTCAACACCGAACCGTAACTTTCTGCACGCCCAATTTGAAAGTTTGATTCAAAATTTTGCATTCGTTCTTGTTTCTTTTCATTTTAATTCTCGTCTCAGAAAAGATGAAGATATATAATCATTTTTTTCTTTTTTATCATCTAAGTCACTTTGTGCATTGTTTTCTATGTTAAGTCGACAAAAATTATCTGTATCTTTCATAATTACCGATCATTTGTCGAATCGATTGTTTTCGAAATCGTGGTACAACCAACCACAGTGTGCAGAGTCTAAATAAAAATAAGTCGATAAGAAAAAATAAAATTTTTCTCGAGAAAATCGAGTTTGACGATTTGTTAAATGCACTTGGATCTAACTAATTCTTTTTAATTTGACTTAGTTTTAACTTGAGTTTATCTCATATTAATTCTATATATATATATATAATTCTGACGGGTATATACCCTATACAAAGTGCCGGTATGTTTAGTATTAAATCGAAACCAGAATTCGTAACGACTTGATTCTTGCAAGGCAAAATGTTGAAATATTAAATATCATAGAGATTTATTGCCGAGGAAAATACACGAAGACAAACTTGGATTATTAATTCGTGTAAAAAGTATAATCGTATTGTAATGCATAAATCGCTGACGATTTTTCACACTTTGATATGAAAATAATGTCTTAACTGCCGTTGATGGACCAAAAAAATGATCTATTTCACGTCAAAACACGATTGAAAGAAATTGTGGAAACACTTTGAATAAAAATTATAATACCTTTCGCGCTTTAACGCGAAAATGTTAGTTTGACGCAATGTAATTACTACTTGCGCAAATAATCAGGAGAATACGTATCGCGGAAAATAACGAATCGGCTTAATGAATTATCTAGGGAATCATAAATGTAATAAATATTCAATATATAGGATAATAATTTCTCAAAAAAAAAAAAGAAATCATCAAAAATTTATTATCTTTGTTGCTATCTAGATACGAATATAGTGACTCGTATAAATATTCGGAATATACTAGATATTTAAATTATTACAACGTGTAGGCAAACAAAATCGCATAACAGTAAATCCTAGCTCGTTTCGAAGTTTGACTCTATACTTGCAAAATTCATTTTATTCGAAGATATTTTTACATCACGCAGCAAATGAAAAAGTAAAGACACTTTCCTCCTCGAAAATGTTATAAATTGTCACATTATATAAAGGCAAAGTGAAAAATGTTTTTCATGATTGAATCTACAATAGATTCGAAGATTAAAGCCTTGATGTATAATTATTTTTCATCAATTTACAGTCCCAACGTGATAGAAAAATATCTTTGAATAAAATGAACATGATGCATTTTTGAAGAGGTTTCAATCTTTAAAACGAGCCGAAGCTTATTGCTGTATGTTTCTTTTTACGAGATTATAACGACTAGTACGATATAAAAATTTTGTTTTTGTTCGATGCAGGAAATTAGTCATTAAAACACATAGCTTATGAATATAGTAAAAACAGGTATTTCCAGAGAACGTCAGAATCGAATGTGAGTTATGAAAATAGTACATAATATGAATCTAATTTATTGTATAACATGCCAATTACTGATACACGTAATCAT